GATAAGGCGATAAGGGTGATTAAAAAAGTGCAATTTCGTTACAAATCAAATAATTACAGCGGCATGACATTTTGGCTAGCTTGTGATGGGGGTAGGAGGGTAGATTTATTTAAGGCGTGGTAGTAAGTTGATCTATGGGAGATTTCTGTGTTGCATATCCAGTTGAAATAAGAGGGATATCAGACCTGTTAGTGTTGGGTAAGTGTCGAAACTGGGGAGAGTGTGAGGGATGCTTATATCGTAGTGTAGCTGCAGCTTGGTTTGGGGCTGACTGATTAAGGAGTGGCGTTCGTTGACTCCTTGTAGTTTTGCCCGGGGTTGGTGTTCCTAAGTATTAGAAGTGGGTCGTAAAGCTAGATGTTTTAGAGATCAACAGTCGTTTTGGGCCTTCTGCTCCATGGTAGTGGTACCCCTTGTTGAAATCAAATAGGTGGTTTGTTTGTAATTATCTGCTCGCAGCTTTAACTACTGTTTTATGTGTTGCTGGTTGTCTTATATGTTGTAGTAGGGTAGTAACCTACTAGTAACATCATCGCATAAGCTTGGTGTCAGACCAAGGTCCTGCGGGATTGAATAATCTTTATCTTAGTTCACATATCAGGGTCTATGCTTTGAGTTTAGGCGTGTTGTTTTATCTTTTAGGGGTGTTGTATCTCTACCTAGTTAGGGTATTCTTTCCTCCCTTTAGGCTTAGGGAGATTTTTAATAAGGCCTCTAACTTAGGTTTCATTCTTAATAAAATCTATATTTTTTTATCGGCAAAGATAAAAATTTTATTAGAAAGAGGATACTATTTGATTTAAAGCCTGGTTAAAAATCTTCCTGAACCTAGATGGAGGAAAAGAGCACGCTAAATCATATGCAAACAAAAGGAACCCAACAACCAGAACAAAAAGAAAACCAACCAGCACAAACATAAACTAAGCAAACCAGTGCAGCCAAATAAGGGAAACAAACCAATTTAGAAGACACCAAACTAATAGAGCACTAAAATTAGCCCCACCCAAGCGGACCCAAGCACATATATCACCAAACCAGAATACGAGACTGCTGCAGATAAAGAAGATAAGGCTCCTATACTAAAGCATCGGAGGCACATTCTACCACCAAGACTTGAAAACCTCATATCTGGACAATCCAGCAATTGCCAACCAATCCGTAAATAGACAACGAGAGGGAATAACATGCTTGAAGCAAACTGAACCAAAAGCTAATACCTTTTCATCAATTTTACCCAAGATCGCCACAAGATCGGTGGCCGTGACAAATAGATTAGTAATTCAAAACAAAGCAACCTTAGAGGATGATTCCACAACCAACGAACTCACCCTTACCAATGACGCTTCCTCAAACACGTCCAACACCAGCAAAAAGCTATAATATCCGAACAACCACCAACACTAGAAGAAGGACCCGAGAACATGGCCCTTAAGGCACCAGGGGGTGATCTCATAATACCCCAAACCCACCCCACTCCCCTTTAGATATACCAGACACCGAAAAACCAGACTGCCTCTACCACTGGGGACTAGCGCAACACAGGAAAAAATGACGCCGAAAGGCAATGCCTTGGATTAAATCACTATTCCTCTTCGATAGTAATAAATTTTAGGCTCGAAAAATTTGAACAGAATACTAAGTCTTTTAAAGAGCTTCGTTTCTCATCAAAAACCTCTTCATTCCGACTCAACCAAATACAACATAAAGCTGTTGAGAAAGACACCAGCCATTACAACCAGACAATAACCCCACCCCAGCCATTACTACGAACCAATAAACCCACACAAACAGCTCTTGTAAGACCAATTTGTTCAAAATTTCCATCATCAAAGAACCCCTTCTCATCCACTAAAAAACGATCTAGCCTACTTCTCTTATAGGCTGGACCAAACCAAGAGAATTTATTGTCTCTCATCGGAATGTCAATCAGTTTGCATAATCCGATCGTTTTATTCGTAACAAAAGTTCCATATTGCCGAGTGAAAAAAAATTACGTATCAGCTAAGAACATTTTTTTGATAAGCCGATCGTTTTACTCCTAACAAAAGTTCAGATTACAACACAACACAAGCAATTCGCTGAAACATAAAGCCTGACAAGTTCACAACACATTTATCACATGCACAAATACATCACTGCTATTGTTTATGGAATCTATCATCAATTGATCCAAATGGGTTTTTTTGATTCATAAATTCCCTGAGATCTCACCGTTTCGAAGATCATATCATCATCATCATCATCAACAACAAATACGTCGTCATCCCAAAGTCCTCCATGATAATCAACGGCTGTCGAATCACTTGGATTATCAACTAGGGTTTGTCCTGCTACATTGTTGCTGTTGTTTTGTTGCCAATCATTAAGCTCATAAGCCATAATGTCGTTGAAAAAATCTTCATCAACGGCGTTTCCAGATTCTGGTATTACGAGCGAATCGGTATTATTATTATCTGTCCGATGAACGGATGTTTCCGGTAAAGGGTGGCAAAATGTATCGGAATTTGCAGCATGGCCGTTTCTGTTGAGTGGCGTTTGTTGTTGAAGAGTTTGAGAAAGTCGTAGAGGGACGATGCATTGGGCGATACTAGTGGCTAACTTATTATCGATGCCGAAGCTGAGCGTTGCGGTTTAGCACATTCGGCGTAGGTATTGAAGACTACATGCTGCTATTGCACATGCTGAGTGATACTCTATTTCAATTACTATAATTGTTTTGTGTATATATATTCGGTCGACTTAATTTTAATTGTGCTGAATGTGTATTCTAATTTCAATATTGGAGACTACATGAATATTAAAAAATCTATTGAAAAACAATTAATTATTTATTAAAATATTTTAAAAAATAACTGATTAAACAAACATAATTTTAACCATATAAAATAATTATCAAACTTACTAATGAGCACAATAAAATATTCACTAACGAGTACAATAAATTATTTCTTACTTAAACATAAGAAAGTATTTCAAAAATAAATAGTAAAACTATTTTTTATTAATAAAACTAAAATTTTAAATAAATAAAATTCAATAAATATTGAGTTTCACTTTATATTTATCTTTTATTTCATTTTTATTTTAATTTATGTTCATCTTGGTTTAATATTTCAATGTATTCTAAATTATTTAACTTCATAAATAAATAATATTTTATTATTTTAAATTATTTCCTACTCAAACATAACACAATGATCATTTAACCATATTGAAACTAAATAAAAAAATTTAAATAAATAATATTTTATAAATATAGTGGTAAACTTTATATTCATCTTGAATGAAATATTTATTCATTTTAAGGAAAATTCTAGAATAAATGCCACATTGATATACACTTTTAATTGTATAGGGTAAATTTTTTAAATGGTCACTAAACTATGTTGAAACAATCTTTTTTAATACAAAATCATTTTCATCATAATTTAATGATCATTGATAAATTTTATCTTCTTTTATATCGATGTACATTGGTGACTATCCTTAGATTATGACTTCAATTTAAATTAGTCCCTAAACTCTAAAACATTCTACATCAGTCTTCAAATTATTAATATCATTCTATTTAAATCCTTTTGTTAATGTATCCTTAACTTTGTTAGTTAAAACTATTTTTATCAAGGTTTTCGAAAAATTTTAGATTATGAGTTCAATTCATAGGACCTTTGAAAACATTTTAAATTTTTTAACTAATAAAATTAATGACAGGTTAAAGTAAAAATCAAAATAAAATGATATTAATAGTTAGAGGAGAGGTAAAATGTTTTAAAATTTAGGAGCTAATTTAAAATGGAGTTTCAATTTACGGATTTATAAAAAAAATATTTTAAAACTTAAAAACTAATTTGGAAATCTCCTATGCGATTAAATCGTGTGAACAATATAAATTTTTATTCCACTAAATGGTGGCATCAAATTTTCTCATAAATATTAAAAGTGTCTTTAAATGTAAAAACATAAAATATTCGGGAAAAAAAGTAAATTTATAGGAGACTTTTCATGTTAGGTACAAGACGAAGTGTTTGTTTCCTAATTAATAACGTGTACATGTTACGTATAGACCAAACTATATTATCACGTATTAAGATACTCTAAATATAATAAAATTGGCACGAATAAGTGACTTCAATAAAAATAATTATTTTAAGATTGTATTTAGAATTTAATGTTTAGGTTTTAAGTTTTAAGATTTAGAATTTGAGACGTGTGGTTTAGGGTTTATGATTTAAAGTTTGATATTTAAAATTGGAGTTATAGGGTTTGAGATTTTGGAGTTTAGAGTTTAAGATTATAAATTGTGATAAAAAGATATATTGTTTTATTGTGAATTAAAATATATATTTATTTAAATCTATATTTATGATCATATATTTTATGTATCAATAAACAGTTCGTCTAGTGAGATGGAACACTAGAACTTTTAAATAATTTTAGAAATTCAATCCTAGCAGTTCAGAGTAGAACAAATTGAATTGGGAGGGCCGTCTGCGCCTCTGTAATATTTGATTTGGATTAATCGATCAATAAACCTTATATAGGAAGTTAAAAAAATGTCAATGGTACCACGACCATCAATTTGTTTGATGAAAAGCCAACATAACAGAAACCAAGAAATATGTTGTTATATCTTTTGCTTATATTTTTCGATATATATTCTTTGAATAGTGTAAAATGATTAGAAGACAAAATATGTTTAAAAATATTTTTATTCTATTTACAAAACACACACTCTAAGTGTTCAAATCTAAATCCTCTCTGAAAAATAATATTTTTTTATCGTCGAGATAACTCATTGAAATCACTACAAAAAAAATTAAACATACATGTACCATATTCAACAGTGACACGAGATTCAAAGTAACATTGATTATAAGTATCATATCATTACAAAATATCATATCCATGCGAGCTTTAACCATCACATAACATACATACAGCCATTGACAATGTCAGTAAGATAGGAAATAATAACCAAAAGTACATTTTAGAGAGAAAAAAAAAGGTCATTCAACTTTGCTTTCCACAATTGAAGGCATTGTGTTACCAGCGGGATTTGATTGACTAAATGAATTTACATCCAGCTCTTCATTTCTCTTTGGTGGAGATAGTCTAGAACTAGACCATTCTTCTAAAGCTTTGTGGTGAAGAGAGTTCATTTTGATATATGGTCGCCTTTTTCGTATGTATTTTTCAGCGGCTTTCCAGTTTTCGACGATGCCTAAAGCCACCAGTAATGCACACATCACTGCAACACTTCTCCCATGACCTACAAGAAGGATGACTAATTAAATTCTTGGTTGATTGTAGCTTAGTATTTCATTTTATGTTTGTAGAAATTAACTCGAAGGAAACACTAAATGCACCAAAAGTTGAAACCAAATACATTTAAGCAAAAAGTACATAAACAATTTAAGTACAAATCCCACAGATCTTGCAAATAGTTATACTTGGTGTAGACACTTGTTTTTTTATCAATAGCATACCATGCAAGGGAACTCATCAACATATACATGCGTTTCAAGTTCATACATGCCGCACTAAATATGGGTATTTATACTAATGCCCGACACATTTTCAGACATGGATATTGAATCTAACCTTAAAGGACATTCAAAGTACAAGGAAAAACTTGGAAAAAAGTCAAAAATATTAGTGTTAGACACATACCCGTATCCGATGCTTCCAAGTCCAAGTAAAACATACAGCTAATGGAATAGTATAGGCACCACAAAATGAAAACAAATTATATATGGACAGGAAAAAGAAAAAAGTAATGAATGAGAAGAAGACAACTGCTGGTTGATATCAATTTTTAAAAGTGGCTATAGAAAATGTTATAGCATGATCAAACTCACAATACCATTATTGAGTCACCTTTAAATGGTAATCAAATTATGCGTTCATGTGTCAGCTACTAAAGAATTGAGATTAATTTCTACAAATCTAGAAAATGTCGAGATACAATTGCTTCTATCTCCGGCTCAGACTAATTTGCCCCGGGGAAAATTTTTGTCCATGAATGTGCACTCTAAGGGATACCACCCAAAAATGTCATCGAACTCAATCCTAGAGTGCATTCAAGTCATCCAACTTTCATCACATTCAACCAAGAATATAAACTTGTTTAATGCAATCAGCTCATCAAATATGGGACATGGAGTATTTGCTTGCTAAACTGGTGTAAAGTAATATAATAAATGAAGTTCCGTAGCATTAACCAAGTGGGAAATATATTTTAATAAACAAACTTCTGGATTTTCTTTTACTTTCATCTTCTTCCATATCCTCTCCCCCGTCTCTTTTATATTTTATTCTTTTTACTTTCTTTATTCTCTTCTTTGCTAAAGGTAATGAATTGTTGGTACTAGGCCTCTTGAGGCTGAGTTGATGATTGAGCTGGCTAAATCTACCCTACATATGAAGTGGATAAAAAAGCTGGACCAGACTGGCCAGTTGAATGGATTGAACGGATCCAGTAGCTTGGGCAGTCTGGAAGCTATTTAACAACTGGGAAAAATTCGAACCAGTCAAAAACCGGTTCAATCCGGTGGTCACATTATTCACTTATTTACTGCAATAGTGTCTTTTGCTTTTCAGTCAGCTGTAGATCGGAGTACATGATTACAACTGCAAAGAAGTTGGAGTTTGTTCAATAGGTCTGATAACAATAAAGAAAACGTCAACTAATAATCTCGTAACCAGTACTATTTAACAGAACTCCTGAGTCTGACAAACATAGCTTAAAAACTCTCTTTTACCTCTGCAATCAAACTCGATCATATGCAGCTTAGGCTCTGCATTTTTGGAGGAGAGAGTATGGGATCTATGTTAGATTTACTAGACTCTAGGGAATACTACTTCCAATCAAAGACAAGTTGTTACCAAAGCCAAGATTCTTTTTCACTTCCGTCATAATTTTGACTTCTTAACATAGAATCTTCACCCGACACAAAAAACACACAATATCCATAATCAATAGGGAAATCAAGAGGAGGACAAGGAGAAAAGGGTAGACATTAAACACTATGGCCATCCTATGGATGTCAAACACAAAGTATACATATTCCACCATGGTGGTGTGTCCATGTTAGACACTGGTATGAGAGGGTCCAATCTCGTTCTGGCGCTTCATAAGTGTGAAGCTTAAATATCTTTTCTAGACGCAAATTTCTTGTTTTCTTAAAAATTTCATTTCTGAAAACTACCATCAATATGTCCTACTAGAATCATTTTCAAGAATCTATATGTATTCATATTAATCCAAGTAAAGAAAATTTCTCACTTTGTATCTAAATCTATCACAGTTATTGTTAACAAAGTTCTTAAAATCAAGGGTTGAAATCAAGAATCATCTTGCCCTTCTGCATGACATCAACAGCTAAACAAGGCAACTACCCAAACAAAACAAAAACTACACACTTTCTTGTAGTCAATTAAATAAAGACACTACACCAAAGGTAAGAGCTTAAGCTTATTAATCTGAGTATGCAACTACCTCAAACCATACTCAGAAGCACTTGAAACATATATCAAGATGCCATATTTAAGCTAGTAAAAAATTTAAAAAATACGTCACCGTATGTAAAAGCTTAAGCTCTAATACGGGTATGTGCCTACATCTAACCATCATCACCTAAATGAACACACAGTACAAGCATATGAAACATAAATCAAGAGGCCGTATTTAAACCGGTAATCAAAAACAGTGACGATACTCCACTTGCTAGCTAATAACAATATCACATCAGGTAATAGCTTAAGCTTTAATACTAGCACACAACTACATCGAACCATACTCACCTGGATAAACATATAATGCAAGCATACGAAACATAAATCAAGATGCTATATTTAAGCTAGTATAGAAAATAACATGTCACCATATGCAAAAGCTTAAGCTTTAATACGAGTATGCAGGGTTTTAAAAAACGGTCCGCGACAGCGATTTCGGCCGTGATATAGCGGTTTCGCCGCCGTCCGAGTTACCCACGACGGCCGCAATAGCGCCCGCGACAGCCGCAATCACGGTAAATCCGAAATAACCGAAAACGCGACCGCGATTTGAAATCCTGCGAGTATGTGCCTACATCTAACCTCACCTAAATGAACACACAGTACAAGCATATGAAACATAAATCAAGAAGCCATATTTAAACCGGTAATGAAAAACAGTAACAATACCCCACTTGCTAGCTAATAACAATGCCACTATAGGTAAAGGCTTAAGCTTTAATACGAGTACACGACCAGGGATATAAATAGTGGTCGCTATTGGAATAGCAGCCGTTGTACAGCGGTAACGGTGCTTTCCAAAACCGTTATTGCATGACCGCGATACCCATAATGACCTAAATTGCTTCCATTATGTCCGAAATCATGAAAACCGCAACGCAGCCACAATTTAAATCCCTGTACACGACTACATCTAACCATACTCATCTGGATGAAATACACTGCAAGCATATGAAACATCAATCAAGATATCATATTTAAACTAGTAACACAAAACAATAACAATATCCCACTTACTATAGAAACTCCATTGATAAAGCAAGCAAATTGAGCAGCAGAACATACCATATGCACAGTGGACGAAAACAGGCTGATTTCGAGCTCGAATTCGACAAGCCCACTTAACAGCCGATTCAATCTGGCCAGGCTGAGGTGCCCTAGTGTCCCAAGTTGGAACACATAAATATGGATGACCCTTAAACTCCTTCAGTCTTGGGAATTCAGATGTGCAATCAATAATGGCAGGGTTACCAGGCGGCAACAAGCGAGGTGAAGCAGGCCAACCACCAACGTATAAACCCTCACAAACTTGGGTGTAAGGTTCTTCACCACTGAAGAATCTCCTCACCATTGAAAAAGCTCTGACGAAGTACAGATACGGGAAGAACAAGCTGGTTGACAAAATGGGGAAAGTCCCATCTGGGTTTTTGCCCAAGAGCATGGGAAGATTGATTGAAGGGTGAGAAGCAATGGAAACCAGACATGAAATCAACGATGCATACAGAAACGGTATCGACAACACTGTGAACCCAAATCTAGTGAAGATCAGATATAATGATAGCCATGCTGTTGCTTTTATAGCTATTAAGATTGATATGCCTAAACCCAACATTGATTCACAATCAGAAATATGAAAAAAAGAAAATCCCGGATCAAAAATCGAAGCAAATTTGATGATTTCACAAACTTCTTTCTTTTTGGCTACAAAATTGACCGATAAGTCCAACGCTACTAGAATAAGTTCCCTTAGCTACGCTTCGAAGGAAAGTGTGCCAAAGGATATGTTTTTGTTAAATTACAGAACAGGTCGTTGTATTATGAGTAAAATTATAAACAAATCATAATATTTCATAAAAATATAATTTGATCACTCTATGGTATTCTCTTAGAAGAAATTTTTTAATAACTTTTATTTCATTAATCTGTATAAACAACAACTGTTGTCACATTATTAATCTATATAGAAATCACATCTTAAACCATGCATAATCATGTGTCAATTTTATTTTAATTTAAGTTCACGAACACGAATCAAGTTAGCTCAATGATTAAAAAAATGATTGTTATTCTTAAATATCTCAGGTTAGTGCATCAGAGACGGTAGAATATTTAAGTATTCATTGTGTAGACACTCATTTTCGTCCCATTTTTTATATAGTTTACAAACATTTTAAAGACATTTATATTATATAGTTTTTTTTAAAACGTTTTTGAAAGCTTATATACAATACGTAAGTTTTAAAGCATTTGAAAAATATAATATATAGTTTTGAAATCATTTTGAAAATATAATATATAGTTTAAAAAAAACATTTGAAAAACTTATATATATTTTTAAAAATCATTTTTGAAAACTATATGATATAGTTTTGAAAACATGTTTTAAAAATATATATAGTTTAATTTTTTTTTTGAATATATATATAGTCTATATTATCAGTATATTTTATTTCATTTCATTTTATCATTTTAATTAATTTCGTTTTTGTTTCAGTGTCCAAACAGTCCAAGTCTGGTCCAAACACTGGGCCTGAACCAGCCCAGTAGCAAGATAGGTTTCATCTAAGTCCAGCGCCGCACATTCATAGTTGTTGGATCAAGATGGAGATCAACGGTCAAGGTTGCAGTTATCTAGGGTTCATTCACCCTCAACAGCGCCAAAATCAGGAGGTCAAGAGTCACACGAAACGGCCGGACGTCGGCCGAGGATCCCGGGACTGAACCATCCCGGGATTTCAGCAGTAACGTTCATGACCCCGTTATCATCGGAGCAGACCACCGGTGGGGTGGGTATAAATACCCCACCACGGTGACCGACACAGGGGGAGGACAGGAACAAGAACCCACAACGGGAACAAACGCCCACACATAGTTAACGTGAGATCACTGAGAGAACCAGTACCCAAACAGAGAACAAAGATCACAACACAAAACCACCATCATCAAGGCTGCACCGAACAGAAAAAGCATCAACACAACCAATATCATCGACACAGAAACCTCAACCGAGGCACCACACAAAACCCACAGAAATCCAACAACAACAGTACCCACAGCAAACTACGAAACCAACCAAAGACGAAACAAAAAAAACATTTCAAAACCCACATGCAAGGAGAGCAAAACTAGTAAATAACCAGATCACGCTGGAAGTCGAAAAGCCACCGACGAGAAAGGCAAAAGACGAAGCTTTAAGCGTAGATCTACGCCGGTGGGGGGATTTCTTGAGTGTTTAGGTTTCAGTTTCGGGTTGGGGGCAGTGAGACGAGCGTTTGGGGTGAGACCAGGGACCACCGGAGGGGCGGCCGGAAATCGCCTTGAGGAGAGAGGCCAGAAAGAGTTCCAGTTCTCTCGTTTTAGAGAGAGAGACCAGGGTGAGAAATGAGAACAGGGGAGGGGTTCTGGGCCGTTTTGGTAGATACATACCCCCCCATGCGACGTCGTTTTTGGTAGGTCAAAGCAAAGCAGAAGTGAGAAGAAGAGTCGCAAGGCTATGTTGAAGCTTGGGATGAAACCAATTCCTGGTGTCAGTCGTGTCACTGTCAAGAAGAGCAAGAATGTGAGTCCCCTTTTCAATTTTGGTTTTAATGGCGATCCTAGTATGACATTAGGGTCATGTTCTCGTATTTCCATTCTTTCCTCTGATTCTTTTGATTCAAAAGAGACCCCAGTCACAGAATTTTGGTTTTAATGGCGATCCTAGTATGACATTAGGGTCATGTTCTCGTATTTCCATTCTTTCCTCTGATTCTTTTGATTCAAAAGAGACCCCAGTCACAGCTGGATATATATGTATATATATTGATAACTAATTCTCCTTGTTGATTTCAGATCTTATTCGTCATCTCAAAACCAGATGTGTTCAAAAGCCCAGCATCAGATACGTACGTAATATTCGGAGAGGCAAAGATTGAGGACTTAAGCTCGCAACTACAGACTCAAGCTGCCGAGCAATTCAAAGCTCCGGACCTAAGCAATGTGATATCGAAACCCGAGACATCGACCAATGTCCAGGATGATGAAGAAGTGGATGAGACAGGTGTTGAGCCCAAGGACATTGAATTGGTTATGACACAAGCAGGAGTGTCCAGGTCAAAGGCTGTCAAGGCACTCAAGGCTGCGGATGGTGACATTGTTTCTGCTATTATGGAGCTTACAACCTAATTGGAGCGTTTCCTTAGCAGTTTTTATTTGGCTTATGAGAGTTGTGTGCCTCAGGTCAGATATCCCTTATTTTACCGCTACTGTTTTGTTTTTTCCTTCTCCTGTTTTGGTAATATTATCTTTTAGCTATGTTCTTGTTACTGTGTACTATTAAAACCATTTGGGAGTACATTTCTGTTACAATAACGATCTCGGTTTTGTAATTTTGATTCTCTCCATGTTTGTTACGATCTCTCCTTCGATGTTTTAACTCATCGATTATGAAAGTATCAATGCTTTATGCTTTTGGATGTTATTACTGAACATGATTTTCTAACTAAGCTCATTACAATATGATAACCAAAACAAAGAACACAGCTGCATTAATACAAAGTCTCTCTTCGAGACATATCCGATGTGTTCGACTGATAACAAAACGGTTATTACCATTTTTGGCAATGAATAGTGGCTATCCGCAGTTGATTCTTGCTGTTCCTGATTGTCGAAACGATTTTTAAAGAGTTGGGGGCGAGATTTTGAAAACCGCATCATTTTTAAATTATGATCTTTATGTTTGATTTTTAATTAAAAACAATGTGATTTTAGAAAATCTCTCATTTCGAAAAATTTTGGTATTCATTCACGATAAAAACGCAGGTTCGAAGAGTCACCACCAATTTTTGATTAGGGTGTGATTGGACACCCAAAATGTTTTGTCATTTTAAATAAAAATAATTTTAATTAAAACAACAAATTTTGGTTTGTGTTATCAGAAAATGAGTTTGGGAGTTGATTACGCGTGGGGAAATATTAGCACCCATACAACGCCTTAAATTGGTACCACGTCGATTAATTAATGTCTTTGCAATGAAATTTACAAATTCGATTTTAATTTGGTTTATGATCCTCGACAAAACAACACATGAATTTTACAATATTCAAAAGTACCAAAATAGATTAAATTAAAATTACCGGGCCTTTAGAAAGATAAAAAATATTCGATTATTTATAAAAATCGAGACCAGATCTTAGATAAATTCTAACTATCATTTCTCTATAAATTTAAATAGTCGAATATTTCTTTTTCTTCCGTTCCCAAATTTTAAAAGTGATAAATCAATTTCTTAGGTGTCACTGATGTGATATACTTTTAATTTAAAATTGTCAAAAGCGAATATCTAATCAGTTAAGACAACCCACTTACAACAAATTTAAATTAAAAGGATATTACCCTTAATTAAATTATGTAAATACCTCGAGTTATGTGAGTGAGGGTATCATGCCTATTATGTAAAATGGATGTCACACCAAAATATTTTAATACCACAAATTATATACATTATAACTTTAAGGTAAACATTAATATGTAATGCACAAATGCAACTTAGGTACAACAAACAAAGAACATAACACCTCAAATCATACGTTTTAGAAAATAAATGTGTTTATTAGCATAGGGACTAACTAATATTTAAGAGACAGTTTATTATCTTAATTACAAGCGAAATAACGATTAAAATTAAATGCAATTATTACCAAGTTGCACAAATACTAAATTAAAACAAAGCACTAATAATAAAGACTAATAATGAATTAAATCCTAAACATGTAAGTTGGACCTAAAAGAAACAAACAACAATTTAGAGATTAAAAGTCTAAACAAGGGGAACTAAATAAACATACCTTTAGGACTAAGATTAAATATGCGTTACATACAACGACTAAATTAAAAACATAGAAAACCTAGTTTGAGGCCCAAAATGTAACATGTAAAACTTGAAGGTCAAATGTTTAAAATATCGAAAAATCAACTATAACAACACTCAGGACCAAAATGCAACATGTAAAAAATACTAATGTCAAATGTTTAAGACAACAAAGATTTAAATACAACAAAACATAGGACTAAAATACAAAGAAAATAAACCATAGGATCTTTTCATAAGATTTTCATTTTTTGGTACTCCAAGCAAAATATAACTAAAATACTACATAGGATCAAAGTGAACATTTCCAAAATTACATATCCAAAGTCAAATTTGCGCATAAATGGCCCGAAACAGGTAACTGGACTAAAATAAAATACTCTGTAAATTGAGAGACAAAATTAGAAATACAGTAAAACTCGAATGAGGGACCAAAATGAAACGGATCAGAGATGACAGGATCTATGTAGCTATTGGCTCACTACCCCAAAACGCGGTTCATCCCCAGTTACCAAAGTGATGCCGTTTTGGCACCACATGAAACGACGTCGCATGGTTCATCTATATGTGAAAACTAGGGCAAAAACTAACCCTGATTCAATCACTCTCTCAGCCTAACCAAACAAATCCCTCGCCGTTTTCTCTCATCTCTCTCCCTTCCCCGTTTTGCAACCCTACTTAGCCTTGTTTGAAACCCCCAGACACCGCAGCCTCCCGCTGTAGCAGCCGCCGTAGCTGCTACCTCCAAGCGACCCCGATGATAGCCCTAACCAGAAACCTACCTAAAACCCACCCCTGGCCCGGAAACTTAACCCCAAACTACTTCGGGATCCCTGTTCTGTTCCACTTCGTTCGTACCCCACATACTGGATCCCTCAAATACCTGAAGCCACAGGCCTAACACCGACATGCACGACTCGAAATCAACTGGAGACAAAGGGTTTTACCTTATTACAGACGGGGCATGGATTCCTAGCCAAGGCGACGAAGCTACTGGATCGAGAGGGTTAGTTTCTTTTACTTTCGTTTTTGGTTCTATTGATCACTGATGGATGCTTGGAATGCTTTGCTGTTGAGGGATGATTTTTTTTTGTTTGGTTCTCGATTTCCTAATGGGTTTTTTAGACTCTTGTTCCGGGATTTCTTCCTTGATGGTTGATATCTTTTTTTTTCTCCCGTCTTTTTTCCTGTTTTTGATTGCTAGCCCCCCTTTTGTTAATTGACATCCCCGTGATTCTATACTGATTGCTGTTTTTCGTTCTGTCTCGTGGTTGATTTCTCGTTGTTCACTGCTGCCCGTGACCCCCTGTTCTGTCGTGTTTGTTGCCTTCTGTTTGCTGATCCTCACTATTTTTTTATTCCTCGTTAATGGTTCCATTTGATGTCTTAGATGGTGCAGAGTATGGAGGTTATGGAGCATTGTGTAGCTTGTTCGGTTGTGGTGCTACGGTGGAACATGACCACGAGCCGGGGAGTCGAGCTGGCAGGGGCTGCTGCAACGCACCGGTCTCCTGTTGTGGATTCACGGGTGGCCGACAGGGGCTGTTGTTGGCATGGTGCTCAAGACTGCTGTTTGATCTGTACAACTGGTGACCGAGTGACGTGGAACAGAACAAAGCCTTCAATTGGGAGCTAGCTGCCAAAACCGGGTCTGGTCTTGAAGCCTGGGTTTGAATGTAATTACTGCTGAGCTTTGTAATTGGATCTATTATTTTGTAATTTGGTTTGAGCTTGTGAGATGGACTCTAGATAATTAATTTGGGGTTGAATTTTAATTTGTTTCTCAATCTCCAAAATGAAACATATACGATCAATCCAATTAAGCACCAAAAATTTCCAAATGCAAGCTTTCACGATTTATCACTTGAATTAGTTCGTCATCAAACACAAAATCTCAAATTAATTCTCGATCATCTTCAAGTGAATTTAAAATTGTCCGGACAAAATTAGGGTATTACACTGATGAATCTGAATCTGTGATTATAATTTAATTATATTTTTATTAGAATTAATAAACTTTAAGCAAATGACTTTGCGAGTCCCTGTAATTTTTTTGAAATTAATGTAGTCCTTTTTCTCTCAATGTTCTCAATGTGACCTTTCGACTTAAAAAAATTCAATATGACCTTTAATCATTGTTTTTTGTCATTAATCAATAGCTACATTAATTTCTGTTAATGTAGATGTTTTTTTTTAAAAAATTTACGAAAAAAAGTATTGTTTGTGGCAAAAAATAATCAGTTTTCGGTTGTATAGACAATTGTTAAAGGAGAAGAGAAAAAAATCATAGAGATGGTTTTGCATAAACTTGTGGTTGACTTTAGAGCATTAGAATGTTGCATTAGAATGATTTATACTAATGTTGGTTAAAAGATCACATTGAATTTTTTTTGAGTTAGAGGGTCATATTGAAAGAAAAAAATAGTACGAGAATTACATTAAATTTTTTTAAGTAATAAAACTTTGTATACCATTTTATCTAAATATTAATAAAGGATTAGTTGTTTATCTAAATATTCAATTTGTAACAAAGAAAACAAAGTAGGTTTATTCATGTTTCGACATAATATTACATTTTTAAATAAATTATATGTTTTAGGGTAAATTACATCCATGATCACTTAACTATGGATATATTTTATTTTGATTATTGATCTTTTAATTTCTTTTCAATCAATCTCCATAATTATTTAAGTATTATCAATTAAGCCACGAACAGTTAACATTTAACAAAGAATTGATGTGTCTATTAAAGAAATAGTATAATTACACATAATCGTCAATATTTACACATACTATTAATTTTATCTTAATTTTAATTCAATTTAATAAATTTAATCCTCAATTGAATAGTAACATGTATCATCGTTTAATTGGTTTGGAAAACAAATTAAAATAATTTAGCTGAGAGGGAGATTAAGCTTAGGCTAGAGGGAAATTTGGTGGCTCCTCAACCACTATGTCAATATCTCCACTTTGTTATGAATTACAACATTTTTATATAAAAATGTATAATTTAGGATAAATTATATAAATGATGTTTAAGTAGATTTTTTTAAATTAAAATTTTAAAAGTAACAATTTAACCACTAATATTATTGATTTATTAAAAATCGATCACTCACTATTAACCACTGTCACATAAACTAACGGAATGTTAATACAATTGGTTGATCTAACATTAACAACTATTCAAAGTGGCTGATTGTTGGACCCCTCAATTTAAAGCACCTAATCATTAAAAATCCTAATTTAGTTATATATTTTACAACTCATCTTGGTTTCTTCCTTTTCTTCCACATAAAAATCAGTGATCGTTAAATCAAAATAAGCTCATATGTAAATATCGAACTTGGTCAAACCTATCACCATGGTCAGCACATATAGACAGCATACACGGGGAAATTCATTAGTTTCGAGATTCAAATTTAAGTATCTACAATACCTTCTTTTATCTTTATGAAAATATCTAAGATATTTTCGTACAAAATTAATGAAAATCGACGAATACATATTTTTATGAATCTAGTCTCTTTTCGTCGTTTGTAGTCATCCAAATACATATTTTTATAAAAGATTATGAAAAAATCGACGAATAGGGAAACTAGATTCATAAACCAATAAAAGTGCATAGATAAATGGTAAAATATATTATATTTTCGTAGATAAAATATATGTTTTTTTATTATTCTATTAAAAAAAGACCAAGATGGTTAAGTTTTATATAACATATGTGAGCTGGTTCGATATATATATATATATATATATATATATATATATATATATATATATATATATGTGTGTGTGTGAAACGTATGCAAACATCAACATCAAGCTTTTTATCAATAATAATCTTTATTCTTCCTTTACTTTCACTCATTTCACTTTTATTTTGGTTTTAAAATATTAAGTTGGATTATATCTAAGGAAAATTAATTATGTATATTGCGATCTTATAAATTTATGTAATTGATTCATGCATTTTTAAGTGTAACTTATAACTTTCATTATTCAATTTTTTATTCTTATTTTAATTATTAAAGTTTAATTTTTTAATTTATTTATTGAACTTTCTATTTGTTGTTGTTTTAGTCGTTGATCCGTTGAATATATAACAACATTCTAACTGGATACTTTTTTATAAAAAATTATGAAATAATTCTATTTTTTGTGAAAATTCTCATAGTTTCAAATTCCCTTTGATTATTCGATGATAAAACATCTTATTCCAAATCCTAAATGGTGGGATGTGGAGAAGGAAGAAGCGAGTTGTATATTTTGATTCCACGTAGACCATATGGTAGATATTGTAGATTAGAGTGGTTTGAGGTTTCACGAGTTTTGTGTTTAGGGTTGAGTTTTATGAATTTTAAACCAATTCAAGTAAAAATAACTAATAAAGTAGTAAGAGACAATGAAACAAGTTCGTTGATATCTTTAATGATCAGAAAATATGTCAGAGAATGATAATTGTAGTGCCGATATGATACAAGGATGAAACTGTAAAACTTTCATATTTGAAGTAAAAAGATAAAATAAAAAAATAAACAAAATGGGGGAAAATAGTCATATAGATTTTATGTTAATAAAAAGTAATATATTTTAACGTGTCATCCTTTTATTTATGATTAACATTTGAGTTGCCAAAATAACAATAAATTGGAAGTTGAACGACAAAAATTGTAATTATTAAATATTTTTTAATTCCTCAGTAGCATATAATTAATAAGAATTTGATGGTATTTTGAAAATTTAGAACCATAGGATATATTTTTAAGATTGTTGCAAAATTATATTTTATTTTTAAAATTAGAATGCATATTTATGTGATAATTGGAAATGGAATCATGTTTAAAAGTCACATAGAAGGATGCTTCTATTTCTTTTCCCCAAGTGGAAGTCTTTATGATTTTTGTAATTATATAATATTTGATTTTTTTTCTTAAATGTTTGTTAGAAACTTAGACGTGTGATATTTATTTTAATTAACTAAAATTTAATTGATTTAAAATTATTTTTTATCCAATTTATGATTTCTGAATTCGTTCAATTAAAAAAATAAAATATTATCAACTAATGCCTCGGTGACATTAACAAAATTGAATGCAAATATGAATGATAAAAAAATGTTTTGACTCTTGACTTACTCAACCTTTCACATCTCAAATAGCGAGTTAAGTCCTTGTCCTTCTCACCAAACAAATTGAAGGCATTTCATTACCTTTTTATTGTAATTCTCCAAGTATTTAGAGTAGGATATATGTAATTTTTAAATTATTTGAAATTTAAATTTGTTTGAAAATTCAAGCTTATTTTTTATCTATAACTATTTAAGTATTTTTATTCAAATTTAAATTATATGCACAAAGTGAGTGACATCACTGATAAATGAATTGTTGTTATTCTTGGGATCTCGGGTTCAGGTAACAGAAATGTTAAGGGTGTGAGCATTTGATGTCAAATGGTTGAGAATTATCTTTAAACGAATATTATCTTGTAATTGCTCCAGATTAATAAAAAAAATTAAATTATATCCACTAGATATCTATATTCAAAGTTATTCAAATTCAAGTACGTTGAATATCGAATGAATTAAGCGATCTTGGTGGTTAAAAATGATGATTGTTATCCTTAGAGGTCTCGAGTTCAAACACAACACTTGTAAGGATATTTACGCGTACATTATCAAATAGTCAAATCTTTCAAATAGTTACATATTTAAAAGGATGATGTGTTAGAAGCTTTGGAGTGCGAGTTTAGGTTTGGTGCTTTTGGTTTGGCAAAGCGGAAGCGTGGATTATTCAGAATTGAAGCCGTTTGCTGCTCGATCTTTTGGATGGCATGGTTGGCTCGTTTGAGATACTACTTTGAATGGGTATAGGTAGTTTGTTGGGGCTGATTATGCTCAGTTATATTTATGTATCGTTCGAATGTAGTTAGAACCTTTTTATAGACAGTAATTTGAATACTCTTTTTTCTCCATTTAGATGAAGGGATATTTTTTTTTTAATGAGGTTCATGTTAATTGTCTTCTCATTGTATGATTGCCTCTATTTAATCATACTTCTACCGTTTATAAAAATATAATTTTAACATTTGAATTCATTATATCTGAACCTATGAAAATTGAATGAAATATTCATAAGAATCTGAACTCGCAACTTAAAATGTTATCTCTAATTTAGAGGGTTCATATGAATAAAAAATATAAAAGATCATAAATACACAAATTATCATATCTAATATCAAATCGACTAATTTCAAAAAATAAATAAACGATATCTAAGTAAGAAACATTTTACTTACCATTGAATTTGATATTTTCGAAGTTATCGAAAATATTGAGATTAAGAGCTAAGATAATGTGAACTTTGCTCGATTATGAATATAGATCTCCCCTATACATACAATCTAGATGCATAAACTAGTAAAGTACACATTGTAGGAGCAATTAGAAATGAGAAAGACCTTATACATGTCAAATCTATATATTTGATTAATGTTCGATCTTAAATAAATGATTGTTGATGAGTCGAAGTAACGTTGGTTTTGTTGAATAATGAGTCTAATTTTCTATCATTTGCATCTAATGATCATTCGATCGATGAAGACATAAAAACTAGACTCATAATCCAGCAAAACTAACATTATTGACCATAATAATAATGGCAATCAACCCAAATTTCAGTATATTTTTTAGGGGATGAAATGATGAGAGAGCTAAATTGCATGTATTTATAAGGTTCAAAAGGCTTGCAAGTTGCAAATTAAAATTACTTGGTAGTTGGCTCTATTTTTTTTTTCTTCATTTATGAAGAATAAGATGAGTTGACACATTCAAACTATATATGTGAATATTTTTCATATATTTTATATAGCATTGGGTGAATTTTTTTTTTAAAGGAGAAATGATGGGAAAGGGATTTGGGAGGAAGGGAAGTTCATTGAATGATCCTGAACCTTAAATAAATGTAATATATTTTATTTAAAAAATAATATGAATGATCCTATAAATGTATTTATATTGTGATTTAACACATTATCATCCGATTATAGAAAATAAAAGAAGATTTAAACTTAAATCATGTGAAATTAAAGAGTTCATCCTTAATAAAATTTCAATTAAAATAATTTAAATAAAAATAACATATTATCATAATGTTAAAATCTCAATATTTTTTACATAATCGTTGATATTTAATCTACTAATCAATTAATATTATTAATTTTTTAAAAGAATCTTCGAGGAACTCGGTAAATAATAAAACATGTGTTTGACTCTTGACTTACTCAACCTTTCACATCTGAAACGGTAACTCCCAAAAAAATGTATTAATAAAAGTTCTCACCAAACAAATTAAAAGAATTGCATTCCCTTTTCTTGTGATTCTAAGTATTTAGATTAGGAATAGTAAAGGGTAAAATACGTGCAACTTTTAAATTATCTTAAATTTAAATCTATAAATTTGTTTAAAAATTAAAATATATTTTTTTAATTATTTAAATATTATTATTCAAAATCAAAACCGCATCATGTTTTCTAAAAACGAGGCAATGTTCGGTTATTAGACATAATAGCTGATCTCCCACATTTACGCTCGGGGGCGAATGCTATCGGTCTCAATAACGAATACCCTTTTCAAACTCTGCATCCTTAATGATTTTTAAATTAAATAAAGATTGAACTCAAAATTTCTGATTTTAAATATAGGATAATCAACTAGATACCAACTTTTGGGCGCTTGTGGGGGTGTTAATCATTCCCCACGAGTAACCGACTCCGAACCTGATTTCTGTATTTTTGCAGACCTCAAAACTCGATATTTTGATAAAAATAAAATATTTTATTAAAATCACCCGGTTTTTATGGTGTCTCAATCGCACCTTAAATGATTGGAGGCGACTCCTCACATTTTCAAAATTCATTTCAAAGAGAAAACCCTCGAGTCGATATCGATTTTTTCTCTCCCGGACGAAAAACGGTGTCGACAAATGTGGATACCAAATAATTGTATATATATTGGTTCTCATTTAATTTCAAGAAACATAAATATATCTCCTAATCAATGTCAAAAGTAAAATATCAAAGTTTGACTGATGTCGTTTCAAAACTTATTAAGATTCTTCTACAAGGTGAGTAGAGTTTGAATAAACTTTCAAGATTTGGTGTGATAAATATAATTCTACATGTTAAAAGCAAGTATGTCGATTTGGATTTACACTTTGATATGTAAAAAAAATGATGTTAAAACAATTAGAAATCAACTATATTCTAACTCAACATCAAACAGCAGATATATTAGTTATTTCAGTTAAACAAGTGCGACCGCACTTCAATACATCTTCGGTCCATCCCTATGCTTTTATCTTATAGAGCCACTTATCAAGAATAGTTTGATCATCATTCATGGAGTAATCCAGGCTTTGCCTCTTCTCTTGGAAGATGACGAGAAAAACATCTCCTGAAATTCTCATGATGGTAGCGCCGTGAAGGCTATCGGAAATATTTGTTGAAAGCCCCTACGAATTATTATTTTATTATCTTCGTGTTTGGGATTTAAACTATGTTCAATTGGAAAGAATTTCAAAACAAGAAAGTAGAAGAATTTTATTACATTGCTTTGCATTTACAACAAAAAATAAGCATTTTGATAAGGTTAATCCTCAATTTTTATTAATTTACTCCTTATTTTTTATGTACAATTTAAACATTAATCTTTCAAAATTGTAGAATAACTATTTTAACGATATTTTGAATTAAGATGTTAATTCTGATCAATTGAGTTGAAATCTTGTGTGATAGTCAATGTGTATTTCATGTTCATTTTTATTATTTTATAATTATCTTTTTAAATTTTTATTGAAAATAGCATATAAGACAAATAGTCTGTGTGTATTTCAAGAACTATCAGCCTGTCATGACAAAATTGTTAACAATTCATTACTTTAGTGAGCATTATCATTAAAATAATAATAATTTGAATTTTTTTTTGAAAGATTTAGGATCAAATTGATATATGTGTAAAAGTTTAGGATTAAATGTGTCATTGTGCCCAAACTAGAAGTTTTCTTTTGTTGAAATTATTTCTCTGTTTAGCAAAGATTAAATCGTTGAAGCATTCTTCCGACGCTTAAAAGGCATCCAACAAGGCCAAAAGGTTGCTTCAACGATTTCCCAAGTCAGCTATGGAACTTCATTTACTATATAATCCCAAGCACAATCTCCTTAGTTCGCAGTTCCGATTCTTGCTTCCATCGATATTTGATAACATCCGTTACGTCCGCTATCGTCTAATTCGTGCTCGAAATCTCAGCATCAATGGCCAAAGTTAACAAGAGATTGGCAGTTCTGGTGGGTTGCAACTATCCAAACACCCAATACGAGTTGCATGGATGCATAAACGATGTGGTAGCCATGAGAGACGTACTGATTAATCGATTCGGGTTCGAACAGATGAATATCAAGCTACTTACGGATGCACCAGCAGCAGCGGGAGAAGGATCATCGTCGCCCGTGATTTTGCCGACTGGGGCCAACATTAAGGCGGCATTGCGTAAGATGGTGAGCCAGGCCGAAGCCGGTGATGTGTTGTTTTTCCATTATAGTGGACATGGAACAAGGATTCCTAGCTTGAAACCTGCCCATGTTTTCAGACAAGATGAAGCAATTGTGCCCTCTGATTTCAATCTCATCACGGGTATTTTATTTTCATGGCTAAAATTAATTCGTTTTTAGTATTATTTTTTTTTCAAAATATTTATTTTCAATATTTTATTTTAGAATAAAATTACTAAAGATTAGATGAAATTTATTAATTAATTAATGATCAATATTTATCACTAAAATGACATATAAATTGATGACGTAATGAATGCACATGATATATTCCGCTTAATCACTTAGATGTATATAACATGTGTCACATCATCACTTATATATGTAATATATTTTATGTTATCACTTTAAACATTTGACATATACTACGTCACTTTGAACATTTGATATGTGTTACATCATCGCTTAGGTACACATAATACATGTCACATCATTACTTACATTACGTTACATGTACCATGTCATGATTCAAACACATAATACATATTGCATATATGTAACGTATGTCACGTCATTACTTAAATGCACATAGCACATGCCACATTATTATTTGTGTAAACATAAGATTAGTCAGTGATAAATATTGACCATCCGTCAAGTAATAGTTTTCACCCGATAAAATATTAAAATATTGAACTTTAAATATTTTAAAAAGATAAAAATTAAAATATTATTTAATTAAATGTTAAAGATAATTTTATCTTTATGAATTACTTATCCGATTTGGTACTTAAATTTAGATGATGCATGATTATTGCAGGCATGGACTTCAGACAATTAGTTAACCGAGTGCCCAAAGGAGCAAGTTTCACGATCCTGTCGGATTCGTGCCACAGTGGCGGTCTCATCGACAAAGAAAAAGAACAAATCGGACCATCTACGTACAGGACAACTTCATCATCACTTTCTTACAAGCCCAAAACCATCCCTTTCGAATCCATACTTCACCACCTATCATCACTAACAGGGATTAACTCATCCGACATCGGTACCCATTTGTTAGAATCCTTTGGTTCCAATGCCAGCCTTAAATTCCTCGCACCGCAAATCAATTCCGATCTATTCGAGTTCTCGAAGCCCGACGAGGGGATTCTCCTAAGTGGATGCCAAGCAGACGAGACGTCGGCCGACATGAACCCGATGACGTCGACGGAGAACGGCGGAAAGGCTTACGGGGCGTTTAGCAATGCCATCCAGATGGTACTCAAAGACAACTTCGGCGGATTGAGCAATAAACAGGTTGTAATAATGGCTAGGAAGGTTTTAGAGGCTCAAGGAATTGATCAACACCCTTGCCTTTATTGCAGTGATCGGAACGTCGATGCTACTTTCTTGTCTCCTCCCGACGATAAGCCCTCGGTATCGGAAATTTAAAATCGATTGTACCGTGGTGTTAAAATCGTTATTTTATGGTTTCAATATTCGAATTTGAATATTTGTGTTTGCATTGCGATTAAAAAAGTGATTTATACAATAATAAAATGTAATAAGAAGTTTATTTAAAAGTACATTTTGCTATTTTACGCACGATAATAATATATAACATTCGAGTTGCCGCATGGATTTTAATTTCAAAATAAACTACATTAATTTTAATTGGAACTCAAGTTCCCGCATAAATTTTGGGTGAAATAGTATATCATATTTGAGTTTCGTGAGTAAATTAAAAAAACTAAAAGCACAATAAGGGAAATAGAGAGAATCAAATTCAATGATACATGATGTAGTTTACCCAAAATTAAATAAACATAGAAGTTATATTAATCATAATAAACATGAAATAAACTTAACTATGAACTTATTAAAGCACAATAATACTAAAGATAAATTAAAGCTTAAGGGTTAAATCGATTCCGGAACTATCCTTGTTCTCATCACTTCCTGCTGCCGGCCTATTCACGGCACCATCTACTTGAGAATTGTTAGCAAAGCTCACAACGGAACCGATTCCGTTGATTCCCGAAGAGCTTGAAGGCACCGGGACCGCGAATCCGCCATTATTGACGCCGAATCTTCCACCGAGAATGAGCTGAGGATGGTTCATCATGGCTGTCCTAGTGTAACCTCGACCGAAACGATATCCGCCTGATCTGTATGGCACCAATGAATACAATGGTTTATGGATCATGGATTCAGTTCTAACCCCAAAGGGTGATCGATTCAAAGATCCAAGAAAAGGGTTTGAATAAAAGGTCGAATAAGGGTAATAAGGAAAGACCGGACGGAGAAAATCACTCGGTCCGATCCGTCGAGCCCTTCTGGCTAACGCACGTTCTTGTTTGTGTGCATTTTGGTGCCCCCAAGGCCTGAGAGGTAGAGAACGCTCTTTTGCAGTTGCTGCAATTGTAAACCACATCCGTTCCGGGTCGTCTTTCCGACCAAGGAGGTATAGGGTTCGTAGGAGTGACAAGATTGAGCTCGACCCTTGATTCGCATGGCAAAGCACCAGTGCCGGGTACCATTTTCAGATGCTTTAGCAGGTTGACTAAACTATATGAATTTTGGTGTGGGGGAAAAATCACGAGGGATGTTGTTTGATTTATATTAGGGTTTGAGTTAGTGAGACTGTTTCAATTATGGCAAGATATCTATTTTCAAGTTGTGTCAATTTGAATAATTTCATTATAGTGCTTCAATTATTGATGCATACATAGATATACATACATATGCACTACTATAAACAAATCCATGATATTCAGTTGTTACGGTAAAAATACAAATTTGGACACCTATGCACCACTCTAAATTTGGCAACTCTATGAAGTTGAAGCTCATATGACCATGTACCTCAAATGAACATATGGTAATTAGAGGTGTTCAAAAATCCCAGTTGTCCAAATTAACTTCCTTTTGTTTGTTCTATCTTATTACATTATTTATAGTATTAAAACAATAGAGTACATTTATGGTCAACTTTGTTTGAATATAATAGAGAAAGCTTTCATATATATAGAATTCAGATCTGAAGTGTATATATTAATTTCTATAACTTATTTTTTTCTATAAGTTTGTTTTGAATATATATTAATTTCAAGATTCAATTTGTATCTAGGGTCTGTTTGTTTGGCTGTAATTGGTTTTCCAGAAAATGAATTACTGGAATTTGAATTACTGAAATTTGAATTACTGGAATTTGAATTCTGGAAAATGAATTACATTTCTGGAAAACGTTTTCCGGAAAATGTTTTCCGTAAAATGAATTACATTTTTCTAAAAAACATCTGGAAAACGTTTTATGATGTTTGGAAGATGTTATTTAAACATTTTTTCCACTAGTTGAAGAGTTTTTTTAAAAATTATTTATTACAAATATTAAATACAATAAATAATATTATTTATCATAAAAAAATTTTATTATTAAAAATAATTTATTTATTATTAAATAGTATTTTTATAATTTTATTAATAAAAATATTAATTTTTGTATATTTTAGTGAAATAAAAATATTATAAATATTATAAATTATTTATTAAAGTAATAGTGTTATATTATATTTTAAAAATATTAATTTTTAAAAATATATAAATAATATTATTCATTATTAAATATATAATTTTTTTTATTATATATTATTAAAATAAAAATATAATATCTTATATTATTATAATATAATTGATTATTTTATATAATATTAAAAATATAATATTATATTATTATAAATATTAATAAATTAATAAATAATATTTTGATGAAAATGATATTAAAATATTTTATTAATATTAAATTCATAAAATAAAATTATTTTGAGTATTTATTCTTTGAAGTGAAAAGTTCGGAAAATGACTTACGGAAAATGAATCCGTAAGTCATTTTCCAGAAAACAAAAAGGAAATTTTGTTATTAGGAAAATGAATTACGTTCAGAAAAACCAATTACGTGAAACAAACACTGGAAAACATTTTCCGGAAAACAAATTACATGAAACAAACACGGAAAAACATTTTCCGAAAAACGAATTACGTGAAACAAACACGGGAATTCGGGGAAAACCAATTCCGTAATTCCAATTATGGGAAACAAACAGACCCTAAGTTTTTTTTTTTTGTCTAATTTGATATTTGAATTTATGGTAAACTTGTTTGAATATAATAGAGCTTCCTTATATAGATTAAAACATGATTTATGACCAAAATAAGAATAACAACTTCATTTTTTCTATAACTTATATCTTAATTATTTTCATAGAAAAATCATGGCTTATTTAAATGGTAATTAATTAATTTTCATTGATGAACAGTTTTGGAAGGTATTAAGTAAATATTGTGTAAAACATTTAGTTTTAGTGTCATTTAAGACGAGGATGAAGCTAAATTCTCTAACTAAAATAATGATTTAATTTATTTCTTTTAAGTTAATTAAATGAAAAATCATAATTTTAATATTTTTTAAAATTTATAATTCAATGGACACGGTTCTATTAAGGTACGAATATATATTAGAAAATATGTTAAATTGTCTTTCAGGAAAATATTTCTTGAGTTATTTTATGAAAGTCATAATAATTCGTATAATACGTGATCTTCTTCATTTAAGGTCACCTTGATTCTAACGTTAGAAATTATATATTTTGATAGAGTCAAATGTTTAATATATAAGGATATATTATAAAGAAAATTGTTAGAATGTCATAAATTATATAGCGAGAGATGCATGACCGATATATGATTCGTCATTTCTACGTAAGTGTTTTCTAATGTCTTAGTATTGAGTGCGATTAAAATTATATGGTCGTACTCAAAATAATTTATATGAGAGATCAAATAAATTTATATGCCATAGCCTACATGATATTTTTTAAAAAAAAAACACACACACAAAAGATTAAATTACAATTAACTGTTTGGATTTGCATTTTGGTATCCCCATTATTTGATGATCATCTTCTTTGATGTAAATCTTTTTTTTTATTTTAATTTATTTTGAGAGTTGTTTTTGGTTTCTTTTAGTGTTATTTTTTGATGTTAGTTGGAAATTAGTGTTAATAATAAAAAGATTAATTTAAAAAATGTAAAGAAAATAAAATTTTGATTTAGTGTCATCACTGGTCGAATAAAATAGCTGGAGTGACATTGATAGTGAATGTCAACCGTATGAGTTAAAAGAGAGATTGAAAAACAATTAGAGGTTTTTTTTTAGAAAGTGAAAAATAAATGAAACAAAAGTTTAGGTCTAAATTAATATTTTGTATTAAGTTTAGGATCAAATAAGAAGTTAAACCTTTTTAATATGGCACATTGTAATATAAGTGATCAAAACATAAAATTAAAAGTTAAGTGATCCAAATCAGAAGAAAACCAAACAAAGGATGTGATTTACCCTGGAAACAAAGAGTTCTTGTTTATGTTTGTTTTTTTAGAACTAAAAGAACGGGAAAAAAGAGGCAGTCTTCGGATCTGAAATGTTGTTAATTTTTGTGAGTTTAGATTTTATTGAATTGTTCGTATTTCAAATGCTTAGGACAACATCGTTTTTTCTTCTGAATTAGCTTTTTTAATATATATATATATTTCGATTTCGTTTAGGTTTTTTATTTTTTATGTTTTAATGATCCAAATCTGACACCCAAATCATGAGAAAGAAGCTCGATACCCGTTTCCCAGCTGTAAGCTTCTATCTTTTCTTATTTTCCTTTTGCTTTTCATTGAATTTGTTTAATTTCATTTTCTAATCAGATGTTAATTTGATTTGGGTATTTAATTTTCTATTGATTCGATGGAAAATGAAATCTGGGTTCTCTTTGCTTTTCGAGTCTGTGGTTGTTTTTGTTGCTGCGATTCCGATTTACACTATAGTTTTTGTGATCTGGGTCGTCATTAATTTTCCATATTTTAGTTGATTCCTTGTTCAATATTTAGGGTTTTTTGGATAGTTATTTTAGAATTGGTTTTATTATTTGGAATTTCACGGACTATGTTGTTGGATTTGTATTTTCCAGAGCTATTGTAGGGAGGATTCTTTGTTTTTGGATGTTATATGAAAACCTCATGTTGGTTTAATAATTTTTTATGGTTCTTCAAAATCGGTTGGTTTTATGTAGATATGGAGATTAAATTTCCCAAATATTATTTGGTAGTTCTTAGTCTGCTGAACGTTTAGCTTACTGACTTCTGGAACTTTAGTTTCCTGTTAATCATCATGTCCCCATACTCCGACCTTCCAACTGCCTTAGACATGAAAAAAATTGAACAAACCTATGTCAAACACGCCTAAGTTTTGAATAACGTAGCTTAGACTAAGCAAAATCTTCTCACACCGCACTTGGCACTTGGCACTTGGAACTTGTGTTATGTTGATCAGTTGACGGTATTAAACCAGCAACTTACAAGGATGCATGTCAAATTATGCCCTCACATGATGAGCGATAAGGACATCGATGTGTCAAAGATCCTATCTTCTTCTCATGGTGTTCTCTGTCAGTATGTAATAGTCCTTGTCAGGTTTCTTACTGATTTTGGGGGTTGCTGTTTTATATTAGGATATCCCGGTATTAGTTGATAATGTTATTCGCTTATAATTAAGATATACAAGTCTATGGTCCCACAACTCCGTTTAAAGTTGCATCCTTCGAGCTTTTTTTTGCCAGGTGAATATGCATGTGACTTAATGATTCGAAAGTTGGTTTAGTCCACAGAAAATGTTTTTCCTATGTTTCCTATATGCCTGAGGACCACGGGTTGTGTTGTCATCCTTGGCTATGACCCATCTTCTTGGAATGATAGTAACATTTACCGATGTCAACCGTGATGAAAGCTGAAACTAAACTTCCAAAGATATTTGTTTTTCAGGCTCGTATTAAAAAGATTATGCAAGCAGATGAAGATGTCGGGAAGATTGCATTAGCAGTGCCTGTTTTAGTTTGTGAGTGGCTATAACTTTCATGATTGACTGAAATAAATAATCCATGCATGCATATTACTTGCTCATGCTTCTTTCTATTACTTTTCAGCGAAAGCATTGGAATTGTTTCTTCAAGACCTCTGTGATCGTACGTATGAGATTACTCTCCAGAGAGGAGCAAAAACCATGAATTCATTGCATTTGTAAGTAAATAATTAGCATTATTCTTTTTGTAGCGTGCAATATCGTCCACTTTATGATTTAAAGATGAAAAGGTGAGGAGGGGAAAAGAGCATAGAGGGAGACAGAGAGGCCTGAGGCAATGTTAGTTGGACTTGGGAGTTTCAGGTGTGGGTCTGTGTCCTACACGGATATGTTCAATTTTTTTAAAGTTTTTTCTATGTATTTGGAGGGTTATCGTATTTCAGGAGAACTAAAGGGTCAGAGCACCATAGGACTGAGGACAAGAAATGGATCCAATACCGCCAAAGATTCAAGGAACGTACAGAAGTATCAAATTTGAGTAATTACTTGCATTAAATCATTAGCTTCCAAACATTTTTCCTAATCCCAAATAAGCGAACCCTCTGTTGGTCTGTAAGGACAGCAAAGATTTTAATTTTATGTTGGTCTTGGTCCGGATTTCCTCCTTTTGGGTTCAAAAGTCTTATAGATCCTCTATGAAGATTAGTATAAACGATGAATCACACTTTGGGGAGAAAGGGATCTATTTTATCATTCTTTCTCGATCACGCTACATTTTTAGACTAACAAGCGTTGTGATCAGCTTGGTATCATATTAGGTGTCTTCGGATCTCATTCTTTGTTACCCATAGTGTTGTGTGTTTTCTATGTATTGTGCATTGTTCTAACAAAAGCATCTATCTAAATTGCAGAAAACATTGTGTACAGAGCTACAATGTTTTTGACTTTCTGAGGGACATTGTTAGCCGGGTTCCCGATTATGGTCATGGCCATTCTGAGGCCACTGCTACTGATGATCGAACCATTTCCCGTAGAAGGTTGGAGAAGCCCTGGATCCCACATGTTTCTTCTCAATTTGTAAAAAGTTTACTATTTTGGTGATATTTTTCTGTATCATTCTGCCAGAAAAGCTACTATAGATGAGGTCAATGACAGTGATGAAGAATCAAAAAGAAGCAGAATGGTAAGATGGCTTCGATTCAAGTATATGTGTGTGTATATATGTACGGACATACAAGCAATGAGCCTATAGAACATAGGATGAACTTGTCGAAACTCTATAGAATGAATTATGCTAAACAATTACATTTTTAATTTGTCATTCAAGTGTCATTATCTGGAGCATGCCATTTTTTATGTGCATGTGAATGGAAGTACTTTCGCTAACTGACTTCCTTCTTTCATGTATTCAGCAGCATGATGTGGGTCATGCTGGCACCAGCGGCCGAGGGAGAGGCCGGGGACGAGGCAGGGGTCGTGGAAGAGGAGCTCGACATGTGGAAAGAGATGCTCATCGTGAAATAGAACCGGAACCATGCTCAACGCTTCAGCAAGACAACAAAAGTCATTCAACCCCGGGAATGGCGATAGATGATGGTTCCGAGTTGAAGGAACCAGTAAAAGAGAAAACAATTGGTGAAGATGCCAACCAACCTATTAGGAATTTTGATCTGAATGCTGAGGTAGATGAGAACGTGGATACAAAGGCCTCAGCAACTGCTGCTAGAGTTGCTGCACCTCCAGCCACGGCTGCTGCTAAAGTTACTGCACCTGCAGCGTCAGCCGGTGCTGCTGCACCAGCACTCACAGCAACAGCGGCAGCTGCTCAGTCTTCTTCGGTAGAGCCTACAACAGAAGCTAAACACGAAGAATACCCAGGTTGGTCTCTTTCAGATATGGACAAGATGGCTATCGATCCTCTTCAACTCGCTCAGCTTGGTGGAAGGTTAGACGAGGACGAAGAAGATTATGACGAGGAAGGGTGAGTAACACCGAAGCTGGACTCTAGAAAAATTTAGTAGTCAAGATCAGTTTAGCACCCCGGGTAGATAAGATCGAGAAAATGCAAAAATAGTCTATGATCTTATTGCAATATGCAAAATATATCCTATGTAGGTCTCAAGGGCTCAAAATGCATTTCTCTTCTCTCTGTATTTGTTTATCCATCATCGTTCACTTTCTGTTATAGCATTCGCTAACATAACTTTAAAATGGTAGATTCTCACCGCCGAAAGATGCTAGTCTGGGAACCTGCTCGTTATGCAACGATAAATTGACGGCACCTTAGTGTAACTATGATCTTATTGCATTTTTTTTACTTAGCTCATTAACTTTAGTTTTGTGATTGTCAAATAACTTTGTGTTGCCCATTTCTTCAATCGGATTTACGTAGTTCAGCAATGGACGAACCCGTTTGCTTGCTGAATTGCAGAAAAGAGTGATTCCGATCCCTCCTTGTTGTTGGAACAAAAACCTGGCTGCCTAGTTTGTGATAGATGTATGGATGCACTGCAAGCTTTCTTCTCATGCATGTGAATTTATGACAACCATAGTTTAAAATTATTCTTGCCAGTGTAAGATAAGGCTTTGATGGCACAAGGATATAGGTATATAATCCTGAAAATCGGACATATTCATATCAGACACATACACGCTTCTAACTCTGACACTTGAGTTCGAGTAACAATAGCTTCAAGAGTGATCTGGTTCCATGCTGTTGAGATGGAAAGTTCCTTCACTCTTATGGTGCACCTCCACCTTGAACTTCTCTTCCTTGTCTCCTCTCTTCACCTTGAGAAGCATTTCGAGTTTTGCGAAATCTTCCACCACCTGTGTAGGACGTTCAACGAAAGCGACTTAAATATCACTATCCGAATCCACATTGAATTTAAATACTAATTTTTTTCGCATATCTAAATCAATTAAACACTCGAAGTTTAAAAACCTCAGCATTGGCATGAACGATTTCTTTGAGTTCATAGGGCATAAGGGAATTTGATCTCTGCTGAATGGTCTTGAGAGCATGATTCGCAGCATCTTGAACAACAGGATCATGCGTAGGCACAGATTGCAATCCAGGACCATGACCATCTATTTTACAGCAAATAATTGATGTGAGTTCCATATGAAACAATATATATATATATATATACATATAGAAAGAATCAATGTTAGATGAAGAAAGCGACCTTGATCATTAAAAGGATAGTTGTTAATTTTAGAAGTCTCGAGTCCGAACATGACCTCAATGACAAAGGATTAAGGTGGCGTTTGGTTTGCTGGAATGTTTCTGAGGGAATTGGAATCTGTGAAGGAATTGAAATCTGTCAGGAATTGAAATCCAATTCCATATTCTGTTTGGTTGGCAGGAAATGAAATTGGAATCCAATTCCATATTCTGTTTTGTTAGCAGAAATGAAATTGGAATCCAATTCTATATTCTGTTTGGTTCGCAGACATGTCAGATGAATTTGATTTCAGTAATGTAAAATGACAGAATTGTCTTTCTTGTTTTTTTGCTTTATTTTAGTTTGTTTTACAACTTACATGTAGTAATATGTTATAAAAAATAAAAAATATTAAATTTTCATTTTATTGATTGATTATTCATTTCAATAAATTATAAAAATCATTTTTATTCAATAAAAACATTGACTAAATTGAAAAAAAATTATATATAGAGGGGTATTATTATAATTATTCCTAAATATATAAGGTAAAATTATATATTTTTTCGGGTCGGGTCCCGTTTTTTTCACCCTAAACCCAAACCCGACCCGAATATCACACTTAAAAAAACCCGACCCGACTAGAACCGAATATCAAACTTAAAAAACCCGACTCGACCCAAACAAAATAAAGTTTCACCCGACCCGACCCGAATATATGAATTAGAAATCCAACCCGACCATACCCGAAATAATAAAAAAATTATTTTTATTCAATAAAAAAAGACTTAATTAAAAAAATTATATACAGAGAGGGGTATTATTGTAATTATTCCTAAATATATAAGATAAAATTATATATATTTTCGGGTCGGGTATTTTTCACCCTAAACCCCGAACTCAACCCGAATATCATGCTTAAAAAAATGATCCGACCTGACCAAAATAAAGTTTCACCCGACCCGACCCGAATATATGAATTAGAAATTCGACCCGAAATAATAAAAAAATATTTTTATTCAATATATGAATAAGTTACCAAAAGATTGATGAGGGTAGTATGATCAAATTTCAATTCCCTCCAACAAGAGAATTGAATTACATCTATTCTTGGATTAAATTCACTTTCCCTCATTTGATGGAAAATTGAAGGGATTCCAATTCCCTTGGAAAATTTGAACCAAACATGAGAAAGTGGTAAAATTAGATTCCAAATCTCCTAATTTCAAGAGATTCATATTAACCAAACACCACATATAATTTCAAAGAGATTCTTGTAATCACCCAGTACTATAAAAAAAAATCTGCTAATTGCATAGGAAAAGATACATCTGGTTTATGTCCGACGCATGGATATGAAATATAATCTTCAAAGATCCTCGAAGTACAAATGAATATGGAAAGAATTTAAACAAGTCTAATCATTCTTCTATCAAACATATTCGTGTCTATTGACAATGCAAATAAATTTTATTGCTTGAACTCGAAAGTCGAATCAAACAATATTTCTTTGAGAAAATAATCTCAGTGACCAAAAATCTCATATAATATACGATTTTAACCAATTTTTTCCAGATTTGCCAAAATGACCAACAAAATCGCAATGCGATCGCTAATTCGCAACGCGATCTCCATTATCGCAAATCAGTTTCCAGATTCGCAACGCGATTATGACTATCGCAATGCGATTTTTCAATTTCGCGTTGCGATTTTCCCAATTCGCAATGCAAATAAGTAAATCGCAATGCGAATTTGGAAAATCGCAATGCGAATTTGGAAAATCGCAACGCGATATTGACTATCGCAACGCGATAATACAAAATCGCAACGCGATACTGACTTTTGCAACGAGATAATACATAATCGCAATGCGATTTTCAAAGTGGCATTAGTATCGCAAAGCGTATTTTATTTTCAAATTCCAAACACGAATATTAATATATTAGAACACTGAACCGTCCACAGTATATCCCGTAATCGCAACTCATAACCTAAAACCTAAAATCACAACTCAGTCTCATCTCCATCTCTCACTCTCTCACCCATCTCCGACGAAATCCGTCTCCATCTCCGGCGAAATCCGTCTATCTCCATCTCTCAGAGCCACCCTCACAATCAGAAATGGAAAATCAACCAAATCAACCACCGAGGGTTAGTTTTTTTAATTATTTTCTTTTTGAAATTTTTGCATTATTATTAGGTTTTTCATATTAAAATTGATGATAAGTTTACTGGTAATTTCAATAATAGATTAACCATTTCACTTAAATTGCTTATTAAATCAACCGAGAATCGCAACGCGAAATGAAAATCGCAACGACAAAATCACAACGCGATTTTATTCTCTCGTTGAGATAGTCAAATTCGCGTTGCGATTGTCATTTTCGTGTTGCGATTGTCATTTTCGTGTTGCGATTTTCATTTTCAGAAACTATTCTTCTTCTACAAATTGAAACTTGAATGAATTGCATTACTTCAACAAAAAAACAAAGACAAATAAGAAATTCACAGTGTTGCAAATTTAAGTTTGAAGAATAAACTACTACTCTTTATATTTATTATTGTTTTTTGTATATCTTCACAGTGTAGTTTTTGGTATATCTAACTTAGTATGTTTATTGTTTTTGTAGAACTTTTATTCGGCTCAATTGACCTTAAGAAATAAAGTCAGCCTGGCCAAAACAATTGCGTCGAAGCTTTCACCTGCACAAAGAAAAATGTTTGAGGATACTTGCTTCGGGCCATGGCTGAAAGTACAACATCCCGGTGGAGATGCGATATTGACACACCTGTTTCTTCAAACCATGACTAGCGATCTACCAGATACTATACAACGTCGTGATGAAGAGATATGATTTGATTTTCTACCGGCGTATACGTGTTTTGGACGGGAGGAGTTTTGCTTAATCACTAGTCTACGCTTCGGACACGATGATGTAGGTCGGTACACTAGACAGATTACCCGCCCATCATGGTTATCCCGAGTTTTTCCTGAGCTGGAGAGGCCGAATCTACACGTGGAAGACTTGACGAGATTATTGAATAAGAAAGATGGTTTTACTCGGATGGATGACGTCGATGTTGTCCGAGTATGCCTTCTAATACTTTTGCATGCCGGCTTTTTAGGCAGAGAGGCCAGACAACCTATTCCGAATGATCTAATCAAATTGGTAGAAGACCTAAATGCGTGGAACCTGTTTTCGTGGGGCTCGTATTTATGGAAAGCTACATGGAATAAGTTATCGTCTGCCTTGGATGATCGAAAAAGTTTGCATGACGATGGTTCCAAATACACTTTGACAGGCTTTATTTGGGCCTTTAAGGTAAGAATTTTTATATAATGTTTCCAAAATTATAAGTAATTATTTAACAATTACTAATGTTTGTAGATTTGGATATTTGAGGCCTTTCCCGCCATGAAGACATATGCAATAAAAACTTCAAATGATATTCCCAGGGCTATTTCCTGAAAGAGGAAACGGACCTTGCAATGGGAAGATTTACTACGGTATACGACAATAAATAATGTGTTAACATAAATACTACCATATGTTTATAAACAAGTTATTACTAGTACACGTTTAACATTGTTTGAGCTTTTATATTGTTAGGAGGCCAATACTCCATTACAGAGGCTGACACCCACGGAAGCTGAGCTTGCCACTGATTGGTGGCAAGCTAGTAAGTATTTTTTTGATGGCACGGATGATGAGCAGCCTCCACTTCGGGAGCCATCACCTCACCCAGAGCTATCACCTCACCCAGAGCCATCACCTGATCGACCCGACTATACACCTCCACAACGACAGCCATCACCTATTCTGTCACATCATCGAGCCTCTTCTCCACCATCACCGTAAGATAGACGACCGACAAAGTTGCCACGACGTTTATCTCCCTGTTCTCCACCTCCACGGGATGAGTTAGGGAAGTTACGTGTTGAGGTCAATGTCTTGCGTGAGGAGGTCGGTACTTTACGCAAAGACGATGGTGCATGGCGTGTTGAGGTGTCTACTTTACGCGGTGAGGTAGCCGCTCTACGTGAGATGGTAGCATCGTTGCAGAATGAGGTTCATACTCTACGCAACGAGGTAAGTTTAAGATTTTTCATATTTAACTTGATGATAAATTTACTCGTAATTTCACTTAGATTAACCATTTCACTTAGATTGCTTAATAAATTCATTCGGTTACTGCCAATACTGCTAAACTGTTTTTGTTAGTATTTGTTTTTGGTTTTGTTTTTGTCTTTTGGTTGAAGTAATGCAATCCATTCAAGTTTCAATTTGCAGAAAAAGAATAGTTTACTTTCGCAACACGAAAATGACTATCGCAATGCGAAATGAAAATCGCAATGCGAAATGAAAATCGCAACGACAAAATCGCAACGCGAAATGAAAATCGCAATGCGATTTGTGTTTCGCGTTGCGATTTTCATTTCGCATTGCGATTTTGTCGTTGCGATTTTCATTTCGTATTGCGATAGCCATTTCCGCATTGCGATAGTCATTTTCGCGTTGCGAAAGTAAGTTTCGTGTTGCGAAAGTAAACTATTCTTCTTTTGGAATGTTTATATATGTTGTCCTTTTAAATGTTTATATAAGTGCTTACTTCTGGAATGTTATCTGATGCATTTTGTGAAATATGATAGAATAATGACTTGGGTGAATACAATGCAAGTTTGAAACATATTTGTCTTTGTTTAATATCATGTCTGTTTATTTACTGATTTATGTATTAATTTTTTTTAGCGGCCCGATAAGGTGGATGCTTTACGTCGGGTTTTCCTTGCACGACGGAGTTCACGCATCAGACAGCGTGCACGTGCTATTACGTCTCCGTTCACCCCAATGGTGCGAAGACTCCGCAAGAAGAAGCCCGACTCACCTGTCATCCCTCAAGAGTCCCCTCCAATCGTTCAAGAGGCCCCTATCATCCCTCAAGAGTCCCCCCCACCGTTCAAGAGGCCACTGTCATCGTTGAAGATGTCCCTCCCACCATTCCAGAGCCCGATTCACATGGGGTAATATATCGAATTATTGAGAAACCCCCACCGTTACCGGACATGATGGATGAGAATTGGCTCTCGTATGAGTTACCGGCTAGTACCCTTCCGGTATCTGAAGTGGAGAGGAGACAACTACCGGAAACAATTCTGGATAATACCCTTTGGGCTAAGACCGCAGTTGATTTTTATCTACATGAGCGGAGCCAAGGGTGTTACACTGACATAAGCAAACTCAACGATGAGATGTATTTGTTGCTTAATCGGTCTTGGTGTGGTGTGTTATTAGGGGTTGAAGACAGTGGCTATTTCAATGGGGAGGTAAGTCTTATAT